AAATTGGGTTGCTGTTTTCCCATTTGATAATCTCTAAACAAATTGTTCAGTGGCATTAGTTACATTTTTCACAAAGTGTCGCCATTCCTCTTCATTGTGTCTTGGTGGTTCTGTTTCCAGCGTTTAGTTCCCTGCCCTCTTGTCTTCTCATCTCTGCTTCAGAGTCATTGTTGACCATTTGATCTCATACAGATGTTTTTATAATGGAGCCCCGTATTCACCAGGAGTGTCCCTTATTTGTGTGCCAGTCTGTTATTTCGCTAAAAGATGGCCTCAGGATAGTCTTGGTTTAAGATTTAAAGAGTATCTCAGGGCGATCGTCTTAGGGAGTCCTCCAGATTCAACTGGTCCAGTTAAGTGTGGACTGTTTTAATAATTTGAGTTCTGATCCACGTTTTTGTTTTTCTCATTCTTTCAGGGTCCATCTGTTGTGATCCTAATCAGAACGGTCGGTATTGATAGCTGGGCACCATCTGTATCATTTTCAGTGTAGGAGGGCTTCACTGCTGATTCCCTTAAAGTATTCCAGGGATAGACTGTGAATTGCCAAAATGTGTCTTTGCTTTGTTAAGCAATTGGGGTGAAGATGCTGGGATACCATGAGAGTTAAGAAGAAACTTAGGAGGACACCGGGTGCACCAGCTGCCATTGAGTTGACGCTGACTCATGGTGCCCCCATGTGTGTCACAGTAGAACTGTGCTCCACAGGGTTTTCAGTGACTGATTTTTTTCAGAAGTAGATCTCTAGCCCTTTTTTCAGAGGAACTTCTGAGTGGACTTGAATCTCTAACCTTTCAGTTAGCAACCAGTGCATTAGTCATTTGCATACCCAGGGGATTCCTCAACAGGATAGTGGAGTTATTAGAATTCTCCATAGAAGGGAGGAGTTTCTTTTCTAAGTCAGAACCAAGTGGTTCATTTTAATTCAATGCAAATTGTTGATCACAGAGTCTATTCCAAGCATTGTGTTAGGAGGTTCACAAAGGAAGCCAAGTAATGCCAACTGTATTTAGGCAACTGGAACCAGAATGAAATTATCAAAAAATATTGTGCTATGAGCTCTGGTAGCATAGTGCCTAAGGCACTTGACTGCTAACCAGAAGGCTGGCAGTTCAAACCCACCAGCCATTCCTTGGAAGGAAGGTTGGGCAATCTACTTCCGTAGTGATACTGCCTTGGAAACCCAAGGAGGGGTTGCTATGAGTTGGGGCTGACTTGGTGGCACACAACAACAAAAACAACAATGTTGTAGAACGAGTAACACTTCTCAAGAGCTCAGGGCAACTCTTTGTTTTATACATTAATTTTGAACCTTATAACAACTATATTGTTACCATGTATATGAATATCATTTCCCCCTCTTTTTTATTCTATTGCTTTTTCCTAGAAGACACTCAATTAGCAATAGAACTAACTTTTTTTTACTCCTTTGGTGCTCCTATAAGTTTAAATACAGTTTGTATTAAGATGGTATCATTACTATACAAGTAATTTCACTGAGCAAAACATAAAATTTCCAGTTCATGGCCATAGGTATTTTAGGGAGAGGGGAAAAATATATAAGAGACCCTCAGGACTTGCAGTGTTTGGAAAATGCTATTAAATTTTTTTTAAAAAATGTTTACTTATATTTTATGTTTTTTTTTTTTTTGTGAAAGTATGCACAGCCAATGATACACCATTTCGACAATTCCTATCTACATGTACATTTCAGTGACATTGGTTCCATTCTTCAAGTTACGTGATCATTGTCACTATCCTTTTCCAAATTATTCTACCACTATTATATTCATCTCACTTCCCCCTAAGCTTCCCATCCAGCCTTTTGAGTTGCTATTGTCCATTTGATGTCATTCTTCAAAACAGCCCAATGCTCAAAGCAGATGTACTTTACTAACCAAGATAAGTAATTCTTTGGTTCAAAGAAGGCTTCAGGGTATAATTTTGGTTTAAAATTTAAAGTTTAAGATTATCTGAGGGCCATAGTTTCAGGGGTTCATCCAGCCTCAATGGCTCTAGAAAGTCTGGATTCCACGGAGAATTTTAAATTCTGTTCCACATTATTTCCCCTATTGATCAGGACTTTTCTATAGAATCTTTGATCAAAATATTTAGTAATGGCAACCAGGTACCATGCAGTTCTTGTCTCATGGCAAAGGAGACAGTTGTTTACGGAGGCAACCAGACACATTTGATCTCCTCCTCCAATTCCTGACTCTCCTTCCTCGGTTACTTCAGATGAATGGAGACCTATTGTGCTGTGGATGGCCGCTTTTTATCTTTTAAGACCCTAGTCACTCTATGCAGTGAATTAGGAGGTAGAACAGAAGTACTGAGAAACAATGCTACTAAATTTTCCTTGAAAGATTTTGAGTCAATTATTTGCTTAGCTATTCAGCAGAAATTTATTGGAAGTCATGTAATACTCACTGGAATGAAATCTGATTTAATTAATCTAATTTGGAATGTGTGCACACCCCTACACCCCCACACCCCTACACCCTCACACCCCAACACTCAATAGTTTGACAACTGACAGCAAGGAATATGTTATATAAAACAAAAAGATTTAAATATTCTTGGTACATATAGTTGAAAGGACTGGGAGATAGGATGACTAATGAAAATAAGGCATCACCATCAGGAAGAAGTTTTACTTGTTTATTTATTTATTTTTGGTATTGTCACAACTTCTATAATTGTCCAAGAGACCGAGATCTCTGGTGGGTTCAGGTGTGGGCCCATTGTTGCAGCCACATCATTAGATTGATGAGCTTTCTAAAATACTATCTGTACTGGGAGGTGGGTGGAAGGATTTCCTGGCTCCAGAGAAGAACTGGGAGATAATTATTTGGACTAATTTATGTGCTGAATTCTTACCATTTCAGGGGTGGAGCAAGGCTTGAGTAATTAGAAGCAAGCCAGTTCTTGACAGTTCACCTTGAAATATCAAGAGCATAAACTATTTGATAAGAACTTTCAGTTTTCCCTAACTTCTGCTTACTCCTTTGTTCTCTAAGTTTTGGTGAAACATTGGACTACTAACCAAAAGGTTGGTGGTTCAAACCCACCCAAAGGCACCTGGGAAGAAAGGCCTGGTGATCTGCTTCCCACTGATCACAGTGAAAACACTATGGAGCAGTTCTACTCTGCACACATGGTTCTTCATGAATTGGTGTTAACTTGATGACCACTAGTAAATACAGTATAGTCATTGGGTGGTGCTAGACACTTGTGTTTAATAAGGATTTTCAGATATCTAGCATTCACTCTGAGACTGGATACTAAATCGGGCATGCAAGAGACTTCATGTAGACTCAGGATGTGTCCTTCATCACCAGTGTCCTTGGATCTAGTGGGTACAATGGCATTTGGAAAAGATGGGTCACTGTTCTCTTTGATTTGCTCCATGCCAACTGAGCCATTCCTTGGCCGGCCTCCATAGGAGAGGTGTCTAGATGGGACAAGACCCCTCTTTACCATGGAGGTGTGAGCGGTTTAGGGAAGGAAGTAATGGAAGGTAGGGGGATAAGAATAGTCAGCTGTATTTTTATTTTGATGACTTTATTCTCATGGTTGATTTTTCATTTGCATAAAAAGGCTTTGTAACTTAATATTATTTGCATGAATTGATCATCTGAAAAATTTGTAGCATCTTGATTATGCCTTAATCTGTGATTTTGTCTGCAAATGACCACTTTGCTTTCCACATAAAGTGTGAGATGGTGATCAGAATTTCACCCTCTCAGGGTCGTAACTTTTAAGTATCCTCCATGGGTACAGTCACTGACATGTCCCTTTGTCTTTTTATCCTTAGTGGAGATAGTGGACCCAGTGGATATCTATCTTAACCTCCTCCGGACCATCTTTGACTTTAGTGCCATCAAGAGTCTTCTGACTGGGCCTGGCCAACTGAAGATCCGCGTTGATGCGATGCATGGAGGTGGGCTCCTTGTCTACCAGTGTGTGGCAAGAACTGCTACAGAGGCTTTATACATGCTGGGTTTCTGGGATCATGAGAGTGGTTGGATTCGTAGGCCCCACACAGAGTGTATATGTTCAGATATTTGGAATGTTCTGGAAAGCTTCAGGTCTCTTTTTTCTCTCTGTCTCTTTTCCAATTACATATTTTATTTATTTATGGGATATATGTATAACAACAGGAGCCTGGGTGGCACAAGTGGTTTGCAGTTGGCTGCTAACCCAGCAAATTGGTGGTTCCAATCTACCCAGTGGCTCCTCAGAAGAAAGGCCTAACCATCTACTTCTGTAAAGATTATAACTGAGGAAACCCTATGGAGCAGTTCTACTGTGTAAGATATGGAGTCACCATGAATCAGGGGCCGACTCTGCAGCAACGAACAACACAACAATGTATAACAAAACAGTTGCCGTTTCAAACATTTTTATGCGTATAATTAATTGACATTAATTAATTAATTGTAACCATCACCACTATCTATTTCCAAATTTTTTCATTACCCTTAATAAAACTCAGTAGCCCTTAAGGAATACTTTGCCATCTCCCCTCATTTCTTTTTGATGTAAATGAAAACCAAGGTTGAACGAATGAGTTTGAGGCTATACCTGATAATACTGGAGGGTGGATAAAATAAAACTATAGCCATTACATTTTTTTAAAAATAAGTTTTGTCACAGTTTATGGGTATGGTTTAAACAGTAAAATAGTTCAAAGTTGATTTTGGAAAAAAATTCATCCTCACTTCCATCCCCATTGTTCTGCCTTTTTCAGAAAGCCTTATAAGTGGAACTATATAGTAATAACCTTTTGCTTCAGGCTTCTTTTACTCAGCATTATGATTTTGAGATTCATTCATGGTATTGTCTGTATTGGTAGTTGTGCCTTTTTATTGTTGAGTATTATTCTCTGGTGGTATAGTGCCTAAGGCATTTGACTGCTAACCAGAAGATTGGCAGTTCAAACCCACCAGCTGCTCCATGGAAGGAAGATGAGGCAATCTACTTCTGTAAAGTACCTTCTCAGAAACCCAATGGGGGTTGCTATGAGTCTGAATCAACTTGATGACAGTGAGGTTTTTTTTTTATTCCACTGTATGGATGTACCACAGTTTATCCATTCCCCTGTTGATGGAAATTAGGGCTGTTTTCAGTTTGGGGACTTTATGAATAAAGCAACTATAAACATTTGCAAATGAGTTCTTATGGGGGCATATATTTTCATTTGTCTTGGGATTGCTGGATTACATACAAGTGTATGTCTAATAATATCAGATACTGCCAAACTGTTTTCCAAAGTAGCTGTGCCATTTACACCACCAGCAAAGCATGAGGGTTCCAATTTCTCCACATCATTGTCATCACTTAGTATTGTCAGTCTTCACATTTTAGCTATTCTACCATATTTTGTGGAGCTCTGGTGGTGTAGTGGCTAAAGCATTAGGCTGCTAACCAAAACGTTGGTTCAAACCCACCATCTACTCCATGGGAGAAAGATGAGGCAGTCTGCTTCTGTAAAGATTTACAGCCTTGGAAACTCTATGGAGCAGTTAGTTCTATCTGTCCTATAAGGTTGCTTTGAGTCAGAATTGACTCGATGGCAGTGGGTTTGGTTTCTGCGGATATTACTGGTATGTTTTAAAAAGTTTTTCCTCTGCTTGTATAGTTTATGTTTCCTCCAGATTGCTTTGGGATTCATGTTCAGTGCATGCTGTCTGACATATTTAAGAGTGGGCACTAAAAAGATCTGTTAGAAGCTGAGCCCACATATGAGGCTTGTCTTCCATGGGCTTTCCTCTAAGGTGTCCTGCCTGGCTTGTTTTGGTCTTTCCTGTTGGATGGGTCACATTCCCAAGGATCTTCCAGTTTCCTGCCTTTGCATTATCTGGCTTAGAAGGAGGATAGTTTCTGTTTTAAAATAGTTTGAGGAGTATTTTTGGGTTTGACCCTCATTGTCCTGCTTATACTGTATGTCCATCTATGAAGCAATCACTCTAGCTGGGGGCAGATCTAGGTCACCTTCCCCACCTTGGGGGAAATGGGATTTAACCACATCCAGAAAACATGAACTGGGATGGAGTGATTCTCCAAAGGAAATCCAAAATACTACTAATAAAGGAAGAAGAAATGGATTCTGGGCAGGCAAAATGAGGAGGTTTTCCCTGTTTGAAATTTGCTTTGTTTTGGTGAAAAATAATTGGAAAGCAATACTTCATGTTCATTCTGGCCAAACAGGCTTACCCATTGGCTCCTAAATGTGCCCTCCATCCTACCTCAGGCTCCATCTCTTGCTCATAATGTTCCTTCCCTTCACCTTGGTCAAGTTTATATTCTTTCTTCAGGTCCCATCAGAAATGCTGCCTCCTTCTGGAAGCCTTACCTGTGGTTGTTGCTTTTCTTAAGTCATTGGATCTAATTATTTCTTAAGTTTATATTGAATAACAACAACAACAGCAATAAATAGCTGCTATTGAGTCGACTTCAATTCATGGAGAGCCCATGTGTGTCAGAGTAGAGCTGTGCCCCACAGGGTCTTCAATGGCTGATTTTTCAGAAGTAGATCACTAGGCCTTTCTTCCAAGGCGCCTCTGGGTGGACTCAAACCTCTATCCTCTCCATTAGCAGTTGAAGATGTTAACTGTTTGCACCACCCTGGGATTCAGTGTATTAAATGGCACCTCTTTTTCTCTCCATCTTACCATTACAACCACTTACCTGTGGATTCGACTCCACTCAGCCTAGGCTAAGACCCCCACAATGTAGGAACTGCATGCCCTGCCTCTCTTTATGATCCCAGCAGTCCCTCACGGGGGGTTCCATATGAGCCACTCCATACATGTGCGCTGAACTGGAAAACACTCCTACTCAGCATTTATTTTGTGAAGTGTGTTTGGTTTTAGATGCCTTCATGGTTTACAGTGCTTCGTTATACCCTTGGCAGAGTGGAAACAATTGCAGAGACATGGAGCGTTGCTAGAGCCTTTTAGTGCTTTTGGTTATATTCAGCTAAAGCTTTTAATACATAAGAGCATCAGGCAATTAATCATTATTAAGTAGCTCATTTCTTTCTGGCAACATTTTAGGAAAGTTTTGGGAGGAAAAAGCTCATGAAACTGGATTATTGAATGTTGCTGTTGGGTGCCGTCCAATGGATTCCAACTCACAGCGACCCCATCTGACGAAGTACAACTACCCCATAGGATTTCCTAGGCTGTCATCTTTATGGGAGCAGATTACTAGGCCATTATCTGGTGGAGCTGCTGGGTGGGTGGGTTCGAACTGCTGACCTTTTGGTTTTAAGTTGGAGCTTAACTGTTGTGCTACCAGGGCTCCTTTGGATTATTGCCTGCATCTTCTACATACCTTGCATAGTAACTAGTACCTGGCAGGTATCGAATAAATAATAGATGAAGTATATATTGTTCCTTGAAAAAGGCTGTCAAATTGATGTTTACCTTCCATACTATTAAGGACCTCTGGTGGTGCTGTGGTTAAAGGCATTGGGCTGCTACCAAAAGGTCATAGATTTATAGCCTTGGAAGCCCAATGAGGGGAGTCACTGAGTTGGAATTGACTCAATGGCAGTGGGCTTTTTGTACTATTAAGTAGCTTTTCTGGTTTTAACCAGAACAAAACACCTTGGGGGTTTGGCAAAGATTTCACAATGCTTTGCATCTTATTTCAGTTATGGGACCTTACGTGAGGAAAGTCCTTTGCGATGAGCTGGGGGCCCCAGCTAATTCTGCCATTAACTGTGTTCCCCTGGAAGACTTCGGAGGACAGCACCCAGACCCAAACCTGACATATGCAACGACCCTCCTGGAAGCGATGAAAGGAGGAGAATATGGATTTGGAGCTGCATTTGATGCTGACGGGGTAAGTAGGAGAGCTTTCTGCCTGCTGACCCATTTGCCGTATGTATAATAGCCAAGCATCCAGAACCAGAAAATTAGTGAACGGGGCAGATAGACCCTACCTGGCTCTGCATCTGTTCTTCTGTCAGCTGCTAAATATTGCAGTTAAATAGTGATGACTTTTATTTGGTCCAGATTAACATTATGTTATAAAGAGTTTTTTTTTTTCAAATATTCACACAGTAAATTTTTATTTATGGCTGGTTTTGTTGAAAGTCCCAGCAGCAACTAGCTGTGTCAGCAGTAGCCCCTGTTCTCCATTGCTGCTTTTGGGAAAAAAAGGAATTAATGATATGGAGGCTACTGAAGGCTGAGGTTCTTACTGTTGTTTATTGCAGTTGAGTTGAATCTGACTCATGACAACCTTATTTCAGAGAAAAAAATGTTGCCTGGCCCTACACCATCTTCATGATGGTTGACATGTTTCAGTCCATTGTTGCAGCTATTGGGGCAATCCATCTCCTGGAAAGTTTCCCTCATTTTTGTGGAGTCTTTACCAACCATGGTACCCTTTTCTAGTGCTTGGTTTTTCCTAATGACATGTCCAAAGTAAGTGAGTGGAAGTCTCACCATCCTTGCTTCTAAGGCACGTTCTGTGACTGATTTATTCATTCTTCTGGCAGTCCATGGTATTGTCGGCAGGTGGAATCTAGACAATGGTATATTTCTGTCCTTTCAAGAAAACTTTGGGCCCCATAAAGCTCAGGGATTAAGGACAGGGTTTCCTATGCCCTCCTTGGCCCCTACTAAGCAAATAAAGAGGGGAGTGAAAATGGCTTGTGATGGTCATGGTGATGGACTTCTACAGAAGTTACCTCTGTCTGATTGTTTTCACACATCCTTCCTCCAGGACCGTTACATGATCCTAGGCCAAAATGGCTTCTTTGTGAGCCCTTCTGACTCGCTGGCCATCATTGCTGCCAACCTGAGTTGTGTTCCGTATTTCCGTCAGATGGGCGTCCGTGGGTTTGGGAGGAGCATGCCAACCAGCATGGCCCTGGACAGGTAAGCAAGATGGCTCATGTGGAAAACCTCCTGGCAGGCTCTGATGTCAGTGTTCATCTCACCTTAGCCATTGCTCATTCTTTCCTCCTCTACTGGGAATGTGTTGAAAGATGGGGATTTGGAGACATAGTGTTATATGGAGGGGAGGAGCATGAAGGTTAAGAGTTAGGTGGTCTGAGTGTGGCTCTTGGCCCTGCCACTTCTTAGCTGTGAGAACATGGGAGACTTACTTGATCTCTGTGCCTCTGTTTTCTTATCTATAAGATGGGAATATTAATAGCATCCTCTTAACATGGATTGTTATGACGTATCAATGAGATAATTCATGTGAAACATTTAGCAGAGTTCCTGGCAAATAGTAAATGCTTAATTATGTTTAATGAATAAAACTTGCTAAATCTGAAAGTGTATCCAAGCAAGGTGGGAAGAGCATGCGTTTTATGTTAAAATGTTAGCTTTTACACTGATTAAAAAAACAATTGCTGTCCCGTTGACTCCTACTCATGCTGAGCCCACGTGTGTCCGAGTAGAACTGTGCTCCATGGGGTTTTCCATGCCTAGTTCTGTGGAAGTAGATCATCAGCTCTTTCTTCTGAGAGCCTCTGGATGGGCTTGAACTGCCAGCCTATTGTTTAGCAGCCAAGCATATTAACCATTTGCCTCCTTACCCTTATTATCTCTGTAACAGTGATGACACTTTATAGGTTTGTTGTGGGAATGAAATGTGATAGTGCAAGGCAAATGCCCCCCAAAAGGATTCACTTAGTAGGGGCTTAAACAGTGCTGGGTTCCTTTCTTCTTGTCCTACCCACCCCTGTTGTTGCTGTTGTTGTTGTTAGGTGCCGTAGAGTCATCTCTGACTCATAGAGACCTCATGTACAGCAGAACGAAACACTGCCTGGTCCTGTGCCAGCCCCATGATCTTTGCTATACCTGAGCCCATTGTTGTAGCCACTGTTGTCAATCTATCTCGTTGAGAACTTTCCCCCTTTTCATTGTCCCTCCGCTTTGCCAAGCATGATATCCTTCTCCACGGAATGGTCCCTTCTTACAACATGACCAAAGTAGGTGAGACAAATTCTGGCCATTCTAGCTTCCAAGGAGCATTCTGGCTGCACTTCTTCCAGGACAGATTTGTTAGATCTTTTAGCAGTCCATGGTACTTTCAGCATTCTTTGCCAACACCACAACTCAAAAGCATTGACTCTTCTTTGGTATTCCTTTTTCATTGTCCAGCTTTCACATGAATATGAGACAATTGAAAATACCAGGGCTTGTGTCAAGTGCACCTTAGCCTTCTAGGAAACATCTTTGTTCTTCAGCACTTGAAAGAGGTCCTTTGCAGTAGATTTGCCCAATGCTGTATAACATCTGATTATCTTGACTGCTGCTTCCATTGGCCTTGATTGTAGAACCAAGTAATATGAAGTCTTTGACAATTTCAATCTTTTCTCCATTTATCATGATGCTGCTTATTGGTCCCATTGTAAGGATTTTTGTTTTCTTTATCTTGAGATATAATCCATACTGCAGACTTCAATCTTCATCTGTAAGTGTTTCAAGTCATCCTCGCTTTCAGCAAGCAAAGTTACGTCGTCTGCATAATGCAGGTTGTGAATGAGTCTTCCTCTAATCCTGATGCCACATTCTTCTTCATATAGTCCAGCTTCTCTGATTAGTTGCTCAGCAAACAGATTGAATACGTATAGCAAAAGGGTACAACCCTGACACACTCCCTTCTTGACTTTAAACCATGCAGTGTCCCCTTGTTCTGTTTGAACGGGCACTTCCTGGTCTGTGTACATGTTCCTCATGAGTATAATTAAGTGTTCTAGAATTCCCATTCTTCTCAATGTTATCCACAATTTGTTATGAGCCACACAATCAAATGCTTTTGCGTAGTCAATAAAACATAAGTAAACATCTTTCTGGTATTCTTTGCTTTTAGCCAAGATCTATCTGACATCAGCAATGATATCCCTCATTCCACATCCTCTTCTGAATCCAGCTTGAATTTCTGGAAGTTCTCTGTCAATGTACTGCTGCAACCATTTTTGAATTATCTTCAGTAAGATTATTACTTATGTGTGATATTAATGATATTGTTTGATAATTCCCACATTCTGTGGGATCACCTTTCTTTGGAATGGGTACAAATATGATTTTTTTTCCAGTCAGTTGGCCAGTAGTTGTCTTCCAAATCTGTTGGCTTAGCCAAGTGAGTGCTTCTAGTGGGGCATCCGTTTGTTGAACATCTCAGTGGGGATCCCGTCAATTCCTGGAGCCTTGTTTTTCTCCTCATCCCTCAGTACAGGTTTGACTTCTTCCTTTAACATCATTGGTTCTTGATCATATGCCACTTCCTAAAATGGATGAACATCAACCAATTCTTTTTGCTACAGTGACTCTGGGTATTCCTTCCATCTTTTGATGCTTCCTGAATCATTCAATGTATTGCCCATAGAATCTTTCATTATTGCAATTCAAGGCTTAAATTTCCTCTTCGGTTCTTTCAGCTTGAGAAATGCTGAGCGTGCTCTTCCCTTTTGGCTTTTCATTTCCATGTCTTTGCACATTTCATGATAAATAATTGACTTTGTCTTCTTGAGCTGCCTTTTGAAATCTTCTGTTTAGCTCTTCTATCTTGTCATTTCTTCCATTTGCTTTAGCTACACTCCATTCAAGGGCAAGTTTCAGAGTCTCTTCTGACATCCATTTTAGTCTTTTCTTCCTTTCCTGTCTTTTTAATGACATTTTCTTTCTTCATGGATGATGTTCTTGATGTAATCCCACAATTCCTCTGGTTTTCAGTCATTGGTGTTCAATGCATCAAATCTATTCTTTAAATGGTCTCTAAATTCAGGAGGGATATAATCAAGGTCATGTTTTGATTCTTGTGTACTTGTTTTAATTGTCTTCAACTTCAACTTGAACTTGCACATGAGCAGTTGATGGTCAGTTCCACAATCAGTTCCTGGCCTTGTTTTGGCTGAAGATATTGAGCTTCTGCCTCTTGTCACAGATGTAGTCAATCTGATTCCTGTGTCCTCTATCTGGTGAAGTCCATGTGTATAGTCACTGTTTGTATTGTTGAAAAAAGGTATTTGCAATGAATAAGTTGTTGGTCTGCAAAATTCTGTCATGTGATCTCCAGCATTATTTCTATCTCCAAGGCCAAATTTTCCAACTACCAGTGATTCTTCTTTGTTTCCAAGTTTTACATTCCAGTCACCAGTGATACTCAGCTCATCTTGATTGCATGTCTGGTCAATTTCAGACTGCAGAAATTGGCAAAAATCTTCAGTTTCCTCATCTTTGACTTTGGTGGTTGGTGCATAAATTTGAATAATAGTAGTATTAACTG